TCCAGCTCCAGGGTCAACAACTCCAGTGTCTCCAGCCCCAGCACCTCCAGCTCCAGCGCCACCAGCGCCAGTGTCTCCAGCTCTAGCGCCAACGACTCCAGTGTCTCTAGCTCCAGCGCCTCCAGCTCCAGCGCCACCAGCGCCAGTGCCTCCAGCTCCAGCGCCTCCAGCCCCAGCACCACCAGGCTCCGCAGGGTCTCCAGCTCCAGCTCCTCCAGCTCCAGCGCCCCCAACACTACTAGTCCCGGCAGCTCCAGTACCCCTGGTACGAGCACCTCCAGGACCAGCAGCTGCAGCACCTCCGGTACCACCAGCTCCAGCAGTAACTCCAGTTCCTCCAAGACGAGTAGTTGTGGCTGGCTCCCCCGTCTACGAATATTTTAACTATATCTGTCCCAATTTTCCCACTAAGTAGTATGGGGCTATCTACCATGGTACCCTTCTTATTCGACCGGGTGTGGTCGATTGCGTGAACCGGCACATGTCAAAATAGTAGCTAGGAGAGATTAGGAGGCATGCTTAGGGTTCAATGTCGAGAGAGCTTTGGCAAAGGGAAAGTGTCGAGAAAGAAGAAAGGTGTGGTTTCACTATTGAGCAAGGTACAAATAGGGAACAAGGGAGGTGCACCACCTACAGGAAATACCTCAAACACTACAGTAACTACAACAAATTGTTTATATAATAAACAGAAGTTTAACACACCCCCTAAACAGTTAGCTGCAGGAACCAGTACAAGGACACCCCCTGAAGTGGTACACCAGACGCAGCGAAGGAAGGAGAGGGCTAGTGAAGAGGAGGAGGGACCATGAGAGGAGAGGAGGTGGTGGGTGGCGGCTGTTGCTGCTGGCACACGGGAAACTGGAGCAACTGGCACACTGGCAAATGGAGCAACTGGCACACGGGCAACTGGAGTAACTGGCTCCGCGGCTAAGCGAGCGGCTGGAGCAACTGACTCACGGGCGACAGGAGCAACGGGCTCACGGGCAACTGGCACAACGGTCTCACGGGCGACTGGAGCTGCTGGCTTCATGGCGTCCACCCCCCTACAACTTCCCACATTCCCCCAAACCTCCCTGTCACACCCCTCAGCATCCCTACCGCCACGCCCTCAACTCCCCTACACCCTCCCGCCACCCCCCCCCCCAAGCGGCATGTGCAGTAGTGGGAGAGAGAGGAGGAGAGGCGGCAGCAGTTCACTCACACCCGCCACCCCCATACCCTCCCCCCACTGCTGCACCCACAGCAGGGGGATGGAGGAGAAGGGGGGGCGGGGGGGCTGGTCCTGCAGATCCCCTCCCCCCCACTGCTGCACCCGCAGCAGGGGGATGGAGGAGAAAGGGGTGGCGGGGGTGCTGGTGCTGCAGTTCCCTTCCTGTCACCCCCTTAACCTCCAAGCTCCCGCCACCCCCATACCACCCCCCCCCCCCACTGCTGCACCCGCAGCAGGGGGATGAAGGAGAAGGGGGGGTGGGGGGGGGGCGGTGCTGCAGATCCCCTCCCCCCCACTGCTGCACCCGCAGCAGGGGGGTGGAGGAGAAGGGGGGGGGCGGGGGGGCTGGTGCTGCAGATCCATTCCTGCCACCCCCTTAACCTCCAAGCTCCCCCCCCCCCCCCTCTCCCAACACAGCAACAAGTGCGGCAGGGAGAGAGAGGAGGAGGTGGTGGGCGGATGACCACTCACACCCGCCACCCCCATACCCTCCCCCCCACTGCTGCACGCGCAGCAGGGGGGGGGAAGGAGAGGCGGAGGGGGGGGGGGGGGGGCTGCTGACTTGGTGACGAAGCAGAGCAGCGGGGCGCTGGAGGTGCAACCTCCCCCCAACACCACTCTTGCGTCCCCCCAACACACCCCCCCCCCCCCCCCTTTCCCCCCGGCCAAACTGCTGCACGCGAAGTAGGAGAGGGAGAAGGAAGTGGGCAGCGGGGACGACGGGAAGCAGGGCAGCGGGGCCCCCGCGCGACGGGTAGAGAACCGTCGCACGCTGGGGGCGAGCGACGGGAAGAAACCGCCACACGCCCGGGGCGTGCGACGTGCAGAAAACCGACGCACGCCCGGGGCGTGCGACGGGCAGAAACCGACGCACGCCCGGGGCGTGCGACGGGCAGAAACCGCCACACGCTCGGGGCGCGTGACGGGCAGGGGTGCTGCATGACGAGCAGCGCGTCTGGTGGGCCCATAATAGTAGGTCCTAAGATCATAACCACTCTGATAACATGTCAAAATAGTAGCTAGGAGAGATTAGGAGGCATGCTTAGGGTTCAATGTCGAGAGAGTTTTGGCAAAGGGAAAGTGTCGAGAAAGAAGAAAGGTGCAAATAGGAAACAAGGGAGGTGCACCACCTACAGGAAATACCTCAAACACTACAGTAACTACAGCAAATAGTTTATATAATAAACATAAGTTTAACAGCACAATCACTCGGTGAGGGTCAGTTGGGTCGGGCGAGCGGCGTGACCTGTCAGTAGAGGGCCCGTCTGCTACTGACTCCCAGCGTTTCCCTGCTACTTGGCCTGTTTCTGCTACTCAGCTTCCCCCTTTCCCTTAGCATTTTCCGGGCATTCGCTTTTGCAGTGTCCCAGCCGATTGCACGCGAAGCAGCGCCCTTTAAACGGTGCGACAGCGGCATTCGCGGCGACGGCACGTATCGTGGCATGCTCGTTCGTCCCACAAGACCGATGTCCCCATTTGCTGTTATTTCCGTAGGACCCCGGCCTCGGTCGGCGGAAGAAATCGAGTTTCTCCGCCATAGCGAGAATCTCCTGAAAGTCGGTGACGCCGCGGAGCTGGATTTCTTGGGCGATTTCGTGCTTCAGGCCGCCGATGTAGCGGTCGATGCGTTCGCCTTCGTGCATATAGCCCACCTGCTCACACAGCGCCAGAAACCCGCTAGTGTAGTCCTGGACAGAACCGAGCTGGCGCCAAGTGCGGAGCCTCTGACGCGCCGCGATCGAAGCTGCAATCAGCTCGAAACGAGCGCGCAGACCTGCGCACCACGTGTCCCACGTGCGATATTGGGGCACCTCCATGAAATACGACGGCGCCCAGGGTCCAGTTTGTCCTTTCCGTGTCGGTAGAGTCGCGTAGTCCATCGGCTTCGTGACGATGATGCGCCGCCAATCCATGGCGGGTCCGCGCAGCAGCGACACGGCGTAACGAATCTTCGTCGTATCCTCCGAGACGTAGTTTGCGTCGAAGAAGACGTTCATGGTGAATAACCACGCCTGAACGGTAGGACCACCCCGTTGACTCGGGTCAAAGCAAGGCGGACGCTGCGACTTCAGCGGCATCGGCGATGGCAGTGCTGTCTCGGCGGTCGGCACCGAAATCGTGACGTGAGGTTGGCTTCTGGCCGCATTCGTCGCTTCGGGGTGTGTCGCGCCGTGATCGTCGTCTCTGTCGTTGCGGGTGACGCCATCACTAGCCGCGCTCGAGGGTTGCCCCACGCTTCTGTGTTGTGATGCTTGTCGTGTGGGTTGTCCTGGTGTGCCTGGTGCTTGTGATTGTGCTTGTTGTGCTCGTGCGACGTCATTCTGCAGGGAAGTTCGTTCTGCCGTCATCGCCGCGATTTCTTCGGATCTTTTGTGCAGTTGCTGCAGCAGTTCGTTCATACGCTCCTGCGTGAGGCTCGTGACGTCAATGTGTTCGGCCATTCCGAAGGGCGTCGGCTCAGCTTAGTCTAGGCGCAGTCGTGGCTGCACGTGTTTACGAGAGTACGCGAGGACAGCGGCTCCTAGGTGCTAAGGGGCGTGAGTCCCTTGGAGCAAAAATCAAAGTTGATTTCCTGGGGTGCGGAGATGCGCGGTCCGAAAAGGTAAGTGGCTCTGATAACCAAGTGTTACGGGTGCAATGGAACGAGGTAGCGAGGATTGCACTATGTGGGTCAAAGGTACAAAGTACGAGCGAAGGCATGAGCGAATACTTATGTGCGAAAACATGCAACGGTTACGTTGTGCGTGCGAGCTAGCTAGTGCTAGGATGGCATCGAGGTTCGGGCTAGTCCCGAAGCGTAGGCCGACTCGGCCAGGCCTGCGGTGCATGGTTTGGTAAAACAGTGCGCGCGAAATTGGCGAAGCCCCGTTAGCAGTAACGGGTGAACAACGGCTGCTGCTGTACGCGATGTTGATGGTCGCGGTAAGGAATGTCGAGAAAATTCCTTACATAAGGAAAAAACGGACCAGCTGTTTACAACCCCAAAACGTCTGTCAGGAGCCTGCCCCATTTACTACCAGGCAGTCTACGAACATACTAAAGTGTGGCCTCAACCAAAGTGTTGCTGCTTATGCCAGAAAGAAGACCCTACATTTTTTACATGAAGGGAGAACAATGCAACGGAAGCAATGAATGAAAATAGAATAAGGGTTTATTCCTGTGGGGACACTTGTGTCTCAATCCCCGTTTTCCCGAGTCGCGCCTGTTAATTTTCCCAATGTTGTGTCACAAACATCGAATTTACCGCGATGTAGGGCGACATATTGGCAGGTTCAGTTGGACACGTTTCACTGGCGGGGATCAAAAAGAGATGTACAGGTGTGTGCATTTGACTGGGTGACAGTACACCCGTATTTTCAACCTCCGAGCAGGGGCGTGGTTTCGATGCGCGGGATCTTTTCCCTCGCAAAATTGGCATTTTCTGATGTCCAGGTGCATGTGGTCGTGTCGGGCATTTCGAGTCGCGTGCGATTCTTTAACAATGACGGGTCGTTTCACAATTCGACAGCGATGTCAGCGCGTTTCACGCTGACCAATAATAAATACAGTACAAGTCGCCGAAAGCCGATTCGCATTTGGGACACAACACAGTTTATGTTGTTTTTGGGTGTCACAAAGTGATTGAGACACGAGTGTCCCCACAGGAATGCACCCTAAGCTCACATTTCATACAATTTGTTGTTCTCATCCTGACCCCACTCTCACCTTGTCTAGAACCATGGTCTCTCTACCCGAGCTTCACTTATTTCTCAAAGGCATTGAGAAGCCTTGAGTCAGAACAGCGTTTGTGCTATTGCTGTGCATGAGAAGCATATTGAAACGGGAAGAGCGATGTGCAATTTGGTGTTGTGTTAGACCCCCTCTGGTTCATCACACCGTGCGCTCTTTAGCGACGCCCATTTAGGCGATCTTGCCAATTCCTGCAGCCTTTTCTGCATTGTCAGCTTGCACCAGCGCAGCCTTGAGCTTATCCGTGAGCTGAGTAACCTTCTTGTCTGCGATAGCCTGGCTCTGTTTCGCCTTCGCCAAGCGCGACATCGTGTCAGAACCGCCTTTTGCTTCTTCGCCTGGTAATCGTCAACAGACTTTTGCGCGTCAGCGAGAGCAGCTAGCAAGTCGTTGTACACCTGGCTGGCGACGCTAACCGCAGCTCTTGCATCGTCCACTGCCATCTGAAAAACGCTCTCGACCTGCGGACCGAGCGTCATCAAATCGTTCAATTCCATTCGCGCGCGCCCCAGCCGCGCCTGCGCGCGCTGATCTTGCGCCACGATGTCCGGATAAACCTCCTCCACAGATTTCCGCGAACTCTGCGCTTCCGCGAGCGCCGCCTCTTCCACGGGCGAGGGGTTCTCATTAAGAGCCTTTTCCGCGTCAGCTTCCGCTTGCGCGGCCTCCTGCACGACGTTCCGCCATTCCTGTAGCAGGGCCGTCGTCATGCTCGCGCGTCGAGTAGCGTCGCTGACCGCCTTTTGCGCCGCCGGGATTTGCGGGTGCTTCGACGGATCAGCCTTGAACGCCGCGAGGTCCGCGATCCGAAGAGCAAGAATCTTGTTTGCGATATCGAGGTCGTACTGTGCATCCGAGACGCTACTGTTTGTGTTAGAGACGCTTGTAACGAGGTCGTTGAGAGCCGAATCGTCCGGGCTCTGGAGATCGGACAGCGCTTGCGTGGAGTTGGCTACTTCGTCCGCGTTTTTGGCGGCGTCCGCTTGCGCGGTTTTCAGGTCCGTCGCCACTTGATCTGCAGCGGCGCGCAGATTCCTGGCTTTGGCGACGAGAAACGCGTTCTGGGCGGCGGCGCCTTGAGGAGCGGCGAGAAGCGTGACGAAGCACGCCAAAAAATCTGCCGCAAGAGCAACACGTTCAGTCAACCTCATGTTGTCGATATTTAGGATCGAAGCAGCTCGATTGTTTGCAGGACTTCGCTCGAGAAATTGTGGAAATCCGGCGGCGCGAGCACTACTCGTAGTCTCTTCTCGAGGCTGTGCACGATGGGAGCTGCGGAGAGGGAAAGCACGTGGCTCTTGCTGGATAAGCACGGCGAGGGAGAGTGATAGGCAAGCAACCGAGATGTTAACAGTAAGGACTGTTGAAAAGGAGCAAGAGTGAAGTGTGAGAGCGGGATGGTTCTGCTAAGTACAAAGCGGCCAACCCGCATGTTGTCTAGTCGAGCTGTACTCCGCTGTGTTAGATCGTGCGCCGCGGCGCATTACTAGGCTCTGTTAGCCTGATGCCGCCCGTGCACTCCAGACTGGCATATTTCGAAGGTAACTGCCCATAAACATATAGACCAATCCTTTTGAAGTTTTTATTTTTAATTTTCACGGAAAGCAAACGTATCTTACATTGACCAGGCGGAGTTGTGCTCCTCGGAGAGAAGGAACTGGAAGCCAATAGAGAAAACTCTACTTTTGGCTGTACCGTTGACTGGAGCAACTCACAGTGAGCTGTGTCTCGCTTTCTGTGGTGTGGTGGCAAGGGGCAACCTGCAGAGGCCATGCTCGATGAGCCATGTGTTGGAGTCAGGCCATCGCGAATCGCGATCCGCGGCGCGATTCCGCTCGCGACTCGTCTCGCGTCTCCCATGCCTTGCCCCACAGGTCATTGTGATGGAAAGCTTTGCAAAATGCGTTGACTCCAGGCGACCACACTTGCAGCACTCCTCGAACCGCATTCGCCTCGGCGTAGCCTCGTTCGGACTTTGTGTAGTCTAGTGACTTCAGAAAAGCATTGGGTTGCGTTCAGGTTCGATATTATACTGCACTGTACACTCATTGCAGTCTCCCACCAACAGCTTACGTCAAGTTAGTGTGGAGTGTAAATCAAGGGCTGGAGCCATATGCAACAGCAATGGGACCTGTACATGGACAAGACGCAACGCAATACAACTGCCGAAGATCCGATGTTTAGGTAAGTCTCAGAAACCAGGTGCGGGATTATTCGAACCTTCCTTGGTGCGCGGTGGAAATAGCTTGGGAATCGCCGCCCCTCAACTCGTAGGTTTGTCCATCACCCAGTTACGCAAAAAAAAAAAAAAAAAAAAAAAAAAAAAAAAAACCTAAAAGATCGCACCAGTCTCGCCTAGATCGTCTCCTCCAACGCGCCGCTGAATTGCTGGCGCGACTCGCAATGTGTGAACTCCAATGCCAGTTGGAATTTGGGCTTCTCGAGATTTTGATTGGAACCCGCTACCCCCGCGGCCCGCCCCTCCTCCCCCTCTCACCTACCCAACCCAACCCAACCCCAATCCGCCCCCAATCGAACCCACCTTGTTTTCTCAAGGTTCTTCCAAGGGAGTGGTTTCTCCCCCAGAAGTACCGACGGCGGATCTCCCATTCACCGACCGAAGTCACGAGTAGACCTATGGGGGAGAGCGTCCTTAGGGTAACTCCTCGAATCGCACAAAACAATAACCACCACGAAGTCCATTCGGCCCTTCTCGAACACTCTCGACACTGGTTACTCCCCTCACTTCGACTGTTCGTCAGGCCAAATTGCACGTCGCCAAACCGCGACACCGTGGGAAACCGTTCCACACACATTCTGTTCCTGGTCCCTTACTTAGAAGGCGTGCTCTCATACCTGCGTATAAGATACAGACTCCCAAAGCAAGTTCGACATCAGATTCAAAGCCGCACATCAATATCATCATCCCGATAGTAAAAACTTCTTCATGCGCCTAGATTCACGGAAATCCATCACCTTGAGCCAACGAACTCTCACATTCAGCTACATTCGCCTCATTTTGTAGACAAGCGCGGTCAACCCGGTCAATCTGGCATGATGGCCGCTCGTCGGCTCACCAAGCTCGCCCTTCTGCTCCTCATCGCACTCGCTACTACGAGCAACTTAAATCCCGGCATCCTCGCCGACGCGCAAAGCCTGAGCGCCTCGCAAGCCGCGTACATCGCTTCCAAGGCGAAGACGCTTCGCGCGCAGGCCAATCAGGCGAAGGCTGACCTGGACAAGGCGCAGGCGGTGCTCGACACACGCCTGGCGGACGAGCGCGACGCGGCGAAGAAATCCGCGGACGCGGACGCAGAGGCGGACGCCGCCATGGCGGATTTGAACGAGAAAAAGGCGGCGCTGGAGCAGGCGAAGCAGGAGCAGGAGGTGACGCGTCAGGCGGCGATTGAGGCGAAGCAGACGACGAAGGACGAGCGCGAGTACTACGATGAGCTCGATTCGCAAGCCCAGGAGGCCGTTTTTGACGAAGCGGAAGCGGCGAAAGACATATTAGATGCTCAAAATCGACTGGAAACGACGAAAATGATAATGAGTGAGCAAACGAAGATCGCCGCGGAGGCGCTCGCCGAATCTACCTCCGCGGCTCGGAGCGCGGCGAAGCTCGGCACTCCCGAGGCGAAGGCGTACCAGCTGGAAGCGTACAACATCAAGCTGCAATCGGATCGAATCTTAGTGGCGGTTCAGAAGCAGGCGGCAAACGCGGAGTATCGAGTTCAGTCGCGAACGGCGGAGCACGACAGTAAGGTTCAGGACAAAGCCGACACGCGAAGCGCGGCCGACGAGCAGAAGGCGGTGAAGGAGAAAGCGGAGAAGGACGAGAAAGACTCGCTCGCGATGTACCAGCAGAAAATTGTTAGCACTAAGGCGGCGGACACGGCCGTGAAAGCGTCGAACGTGATAGCGCAGCAAAAGCTGGCCGTGCAGCGCAGCGCGAAGGCGGTTCTTAATACGAAGGTGGCGCTTCGCGCGAGTCAGGAGAAGACGGTGGGGGCGCTGACGACCAGGTTTAACTCGTTCAAGGCGAATGCGGATAACGCGGAGGCTGATGCCAACAAAAAGGGTGTGAAGTTTGACTGATTGAATCTCGGCTGAATGAAGAGGAAGCACATTGATATGGGGAATGGGGAGTGCGTGTGGTGGCGGGGATGCTGCTGCTTGTGAATGGATGGAACCAGTGTGGCGATTCGTAAAACGGTGGGTTCGTTTTCTGTAAGAAACTCAGGAGAGTCCCAAGGAGCAACGTCCATTCCGCGCACAAGCGGATGGTTCAATAAACCCAGCATGCACACTCCCCTCTTTGCTTTCCTTGTTGGAGCTGTTTGCGAATGTTGTCAATTACGGTATGAGTTCAAAAATTGTGGTAATTCCTTTCTCACAAAACGATCTCTCTCAACAAATTCCTTAGGGTTGCGGAATGAAGAAGGGGTGTGCGTGGGAGGGAGGGAAGTGATTTGGTAAAGCGCGCTCTGCCGAGCTTCATGGGCGCTGAAGTTGGAGGTAAAGGAAATTGGACAATAGCAATAGGCGCAAAAAATTAAGGTGATACGACCAGAAAGAGAATCGGAGATTGATATCCACATCAAGTACTCCCAAGACGATGTGTAGCACAGCTTTTATTGATAGAGGGCCTAGCTACAATGATCTACATGTTACAACAGTATAGTAGATGCAAGGTTGCCACCACTATATGAACTATAATCAACTAGCAAAAACAGCAGCTGCCAAAGTCGCCACAAACGCTGCTACACCAGCGACTCCCATACGTGCCGCCCCCTTATAAGTCATCGCACTTGGGTTGCTTTTCGGCACAGGCTCAGAAGCCCACGGTGTACCCACATCAGGAGGTGGCGGGTCATGTGCTGCTCCGGTAATATAAGGAAGAGGAGGGTTTTCAGGGAGTGGTGCAAGGTTCGGATCCTCTGGGAGTGGGAACCATTGGCAAGCGTTGGATGCATTGCCGCTGTCCATCGAACGGCCTATGGAGGCCGCGTATTTCTTAGTGTCTACCGAGCCGTAGGGGCACTCCTTAGGGACGTATAGCGGGTCGCAGCAGGCGGGTTGCTCGGGGAGGGCGGCAGGGCCACCGTAGCAATTTTTCTGTTGTGGTGCAATGGGGGAAAGGTGGGGAGGGGGAGTGGGCGGGAGGGAGGGGAAGGGGAGGGAAGGGTGGGAGAACAGAGGGGAGGAAAGTTCAACAACTGGAATTAGGAAAGCAAGGGTAGGAAGGAGAAGAACACAAAAACAACAGGCATGCCGATACGCTTTCAGGGAGGGTTAGGAAGAAAAGCAATTCCTGCTTACCTGGAACTCACCTGTCAAAGGGATAAAGCCGGATTCTCACCTCAGAAACGATAAAGGCGACATTCCCAATGCCGAGTTTCTGCACGAGAGGAGTGAAGAGGCGCCCTAGCAGGATCTCCTTAGTGGGGAAGCCCGCTCCGACCAGCACAGTGCCCACTGGGGAGGAGAGATGGGGGAGGAGAAATGCGGGGAGAGATGGGCAGGTTGAGAGATTGGGAAGGGTTGAGAGGGGCACGAGAGGGGTGAAGAGGGGTGTTAGCAGGAGCTCATTGGTGTGGAAGCCTGCCTCGTCTAGCCAAGTGCCTACTGAGGGATGAAAGCTGAGCAGAGGTGAAAGGAAAGTTACTAGATTATAATTTGTTGGTCTAACGTGAGGGGTGCAGTGAAAAAAAAAAAAAAAAAAAAAAAAAAAAAAGACTGCCAAAACAAATTGATACTCACGTGAGACGTCTTTGCAGTAGCCAAACACTTCTTGCGCGTACGTCGGACACACGCGCAGAACGGGTCTGCCGGCCTTCACGAACACGTAGTTGCCGGAATCTGTGACGGAATATTGGGGCGGACATAACGAGCGGCGAACGGAAACATACTTGACTGAGTAAATGCGCCTGCCGTCGGTTGTGACATTCCCAAACGAAAAGAAATGAGTGAACAACAGGGAAGAGGCGAGGTAGGTGGTTTTGCTTGGTAACGCGGAGCTGACGGACGTAACGACGTACGTACCGGGGTTACAGGTCAACGCGCAAAGGAGCTGTTCGAGATGAAACTGGCAGTCGTCCATGCCGTACAGATAGTCGCACGCCTGCATGCGAGGCACGAAAAAGAAGATTAAGGAGAGCGTACGAGGGAACACGCGTGTTACACGGAAAAAGGGTGGTTTACGGGCTTGTAATTGTTTCTGCAGGCGCTGCATGAGTACTAATGAACCAGAATTGTGACGGAAAAAAACCTGACGAGGAACGTTGTTTCTGAGTGGTCGACCTCGTTTGTGTATGGGGTTTCTCATGAAAACGCTCTTGAGCTAAATGGGAGCAGCTCCAGGATAGCGGTCTTACAGGCACGACTACTTGAAAAAAAAAATCAAATTCCTTTTGAAAGCGCTTAGAAGGATGTTAACGTGCTTCGGAGGGCCCAAATGTTCCGTCACCCACCGCAAAATATATGCTACGTAAGGTGATTCCCGAGAACTCACCTTCATTCATGGGCCCTAAAGGCGTGGGCAGCTGCGGCATGGTGATAGAAACGACAGAACCCACTTGTACCGCTACTACTTACCGAGTTATTTCTATTACGTACCGTAGTTCCTGAGTAGTCAACTTCGTTCATGGGCCCTAGCGGCGTGAGCAGCTGCGGCATGATGATGGAAACGTTCGCCGACACCCCCGCGAGCGCGTTTTGAATCTCCTTGCAGTCCGTGCAGCACGACGCAGCCGCGGCATCCATGCAGCGGCGGTACGGGACCGTGGGAAGCGACGGCGGCTGCTTCGTTAAAGGACATAGGGGATACTGTTGCGCGGTGGATATACGCGTTAGTGAGAAGACGAAAGACACGAGGAAGGCGAAGGCCGGAAGGACGGGCCGCATGTGGCGCTTCATGGTGACGAGATGAGGCCAAAGCGAGAAGTAATTAATCTCTAGCGAGTGAGATGGTAATCTTGACCGCAGTTCTGCTGATGGTGTGACCGCTTATGGTTCAACTGAACTTGAGTTGAGTCGAGTCCGTGGTACACACCGGATATTTTCACCAAGCTTCGAGGTCTGAATGTTTAGGCGTTTCAATTTGAAATGGGACTTGAGAAGGACGAGGTCTTCACTGTTCGTACGTTTAACACTTCTCAACAACAGACTGAGATGGGGGCATTGACTACTATTTAGGCGCCTCAAGCTTGCCACTTCCCAGGGTTGAACAGATGCAATGAGAAACTCGAGCTTGAATTGGGGACGACGACTGAACGTGCAGGGGGAATGGTGTTCATGGCAGTGGAAGCTGTGTTGAGTCTATATTTAAAGAGGTTACGAGCGTTTCAATGCGTTTTAGAACTGTTCCTGTTATCTTTTGACGGTTCGATATGGCTTTGAGGAGACTATCCCCTAAAGTAAGGTGGAATGAATGACATTGGAGGCATGTCGCGTCGCGTCACGTCGCGTCACATTGAGGAGGGCTCGTTGGTGGTTCTGATGGACACGCGCAGCGTCGAGTCCGAGTGTCAAAGGTCGGTCGCACGGCGCGTCGTTCGTTTGTGTGACCAATTGAAAAGGTTTCGTGGCTGAAGCCCGACGCGAAATAGTCAAGCGGCGAAGACTAGCGAACTCATTAGCTTTTTCGCCTACGGAAAGCTATGAACTGCTGGTAATGTTTCGCCAAACAACGTTCTCCGTATTGCGCGAAACGTGCTCACCACACAAAGGAAAAGCGCTAAGTGCGGTCAACCAACGAAAGTGCACGAGCCGCCATGGAAGGATACAGTACGACGTGGCTTCCCTTGCACTCGTACAAGCGGGCTTCACTACTGTAAGGGTTTAGCGGAATAATTATGTACCAAGAAAAGAATGTTAGAATCTGTTACAGGTGCAATCAATCGAGCTAGCTAGTGCTACGCTGGCGCGAGGTTCGGGCTAGTCCCGAAGCGTAGGCCGACTCGGCTGCTCCAGCAGTGTGAGCAGGGTCATCCTTAGGTTTTGAACCTGCCTGATGCATCAGATGGTGTGGTTTTTTCTGACAGATATATTGCACTGCGTGCTGACGCACGCAGTGCAATGAGTCAGCGGGCAAGGAAAAAAATAAAACCCACTCGGAAGGCATGTCATTCGGGAGGCATCAACCCTAAAATTTTAGGGTTGAGGCTCCCGAACGGCATGGAGTCCGAATGGGTTTTAGTTTTTTTCTGCCCGCGGTCAGCATGCTGACTCACTCAGTAGCGTCGTCTAGCGAAACGGTAGCGCTACCGAGTGCTACCGACGCTACCAAGTGTAATATATTGTCTGATGCATCCGAATTTCTTTCAAAACATTTCTGCTGAATCAGAAAACTCTATAATTAAATTTCTGATCTATTTTCTTAGAGCCCTCCTCATTTCACAGAGTTCTGTACCTTAACGAAGGAATTGCAAAGAAAGTCGAGTTCGGAACTCGACGAATGCTCGCCATTGTGAAGCCAATCGAAACTAACTATGCTACTTTTGTGTACAGCAATAGGGTTAGGTAACACTTCAGATAACTGACCGAACTCCATTCACATACGAAACACCCTTCTACATTGAAACTCGGTATTAGACGAACCAAAACAGGTTCCTGATTGATCAGATGGAATAAAAAAACATTTATTATCAATCAGAAAATTAAAAAAATTCATTTCTGGAAAATATGATGAACTGGTAAAAATCTGTCTGAATATCGGACAAACAGAGAGAAAATTTCTGCTAGCGACGACCCTGAGTGCGAGGTTTGGTGCACGCCCTCAGATTCGTTTTTGGCCTGTCTGATTCGTCAGACTAGTACACAGTTTTAGTCTGAAACTCTCAGAGTTGGTATTTAAAAAAGGCTGAAATTTCAGAGTGTCCAAATATAAAAAAGTCTAAACATTCGAAATCAATGTATTCAATGTTCATCAGAAATGTATTCAATGTTTCATTCACTGTTACCGAACTAGACTAAGGGGATTTCGGGAGAACATGCTCTGACGGCGAATCTGCAATGTCAGACGCGAATCTTGTGGTGATTGGGTGAATCTTGTGATGATTGGGCGAATCTTTTGTCAGAGCGAATCTAGTGGTGTGACAGGGCGAATCTGTAATGTCAGACGCGAATTTTTTGTGATTGGGCCAAATCGTTGTGCTCTGACGGCGACTTTTCTATGATTGGGCGAATTCGTGCTGTAAGGCGCGGATTTGCTGTGTCAAGGCAATTTTGCGTTGACTGTGCGAATCTGCTGTGACCCGTGAAGTCCGAATCACTAGTCAAGAACTCGTTTGTACTCTGAATTCATCAGAGTACACTCCCGAAAAACTCTGAAACGTCAGAGTCAGCCTATAAAAATAAATCTGATTTTCACAGAGTTGAGGCAAAAAAAAAAAATCTGAATTTTACAGAGTACACCCTAAAAAAAATCTGAAATCTCAGACAAAAACAAGCAAATCAGACAAAAAAACTCTGACTTCTGGGGGCCTGGTTTGGTGAAACAGTGCGCGCGAAGTTGGCGGAGCCCCGTTAGCAGTAACGGGCGAACAACGGCTACTGTTGTACGCGATGTGGACGGTCGCGGTAAGGAATAACAAGAACATTATTTACACTACTGTCAAAATGTTATAGTGCTTACATTGTGTAGGCTGTAGTGGGGTAGCACATAAGGGGTACAACCCAATTAGGGTTAGTATTTGTACCCAACTCATTCATAGTTCATTCATTCTCAATCAGTAGTCTGATATGGTATCAGAGCAGGTCCTGTTCTAGGACCGGTTTTTTTAGGGCCCACCACAGAGCGCTGCCCCATTAGTCGCGCTGCCTCATGTACTTGATGACCTGCACTCGACCTGACCTTGCCTACCCTCTTAGCATCCTGGCACGCTACGTTGCGCCCGGGAGACACCGACCAGAGCACTGGGAGGCCGCTAAGAGGGTCTTGTGCTACTTGTGCTGTACTTCGGGCATGAGGCTCGTGCTTGGAGGACAGGGTCCAGTTGTCCTCACTGGACACGCAGACGCTTCTCGGGTTGACGACTTGGCTACGCAGCGGTCGTCACAGGGTTACACTTTCAGCCTTAGCTCCGGCTCTGTTTCTTGGCGGTCTACCCGTGCGGAGATACACTCTACAACGGCTGTGAGCTAGACTACGGGGGTTGGCATGAACTACAAGGAGTGATCGTAGCTTTGCCTAGTTCCTTAGTGCTTGCACAATCACGGGAGAAATCGGCAAGAGTTTCCACTAGCAAAGTTGGATTTACAGATTGTTAAACAAGCAATGACAACAATGACTACATCAGGCACCTAGCAACTCTGCAGCTAGCCTGGTCGACCGACAGCACAGCATGGTCGACGGTGTGCCAACGCTGCAGCAGATCGGCTGTCTAGCGTTGCCCCGTAGAAGACAGCAGTGCGCACACTTGCAGGTGCGCGCAGACGATTGGCCTGACTTGCACCGTTGTGCATCCGTCGGCTGTTGTCTGCGCCTGACGAGCCACATCGACTTCGGGATACCAACCCAAAGTCGCCTTCGCCATCGCGACCTCGATGACGTTCACGTGCCTCCGCAGAACTCGCCGAGCAGGTTACCCGGTCGACCTGGACAACCCCAGGTGCTCTGGTCGACCACCAAGTGCCTTTGGTCGACCACCGGGTCCCTCTGGTCGACCACCAGGTGCCCCTGGTCGACCACAGCTCCCGTCGAGCTACCCTGTGGTCGACGGACCCCTTCCGTCTGTCAAAATGAAATATAGCTTACTCTGTGTAGGCTATAGTGGGGTAGCCCATAAGGGGTACAACCCAATTAGGGTTAGTACTTGTACCCAACTCTCTCATACTTCATTCATTCTCGTTCACAACATTCTAACATGGTTTCAGAGCAGGTCCCCTAGGACCGGTTTGTTTTTGGGCCCACCATCTGCTGCCCTGCTAGCCTAGGCCCGCGCCCGTTGCCCCTAGGCCCCGCCCCGTCGCCACCCCTAGCCCCTACCTCGGCCCCTTGGCCCCGTCGACCCCGTCGCCCCTAGCTCGGCTCCTCGGCCCCGTCGCCTCGGCCCCTTGGCCCCGTCGCCCCTAGCTCGGCCCCTCGGCCCCGTCGCCTCGGCCCCTTGGCCCCGTCGACCCCGTCGCCCCTAGCTCGGCCCCGTCGCCTCGGCCCCTTGGCCCCGTCGGCCCCGTCGCCCCTAGCTCGGCCCCTCGGCCCCGTCGCCTCGGCCCCTTGGCCCTGTCACCCCTAGCCGCGGTCCCGTCGGCCCCGTCGCCCCTAACTCGGCCCCTCGGCCCCGTCGCCTCGGCCCCTTGGCCCCGTCGACCCCGTCGCCCCTAGCTTGGCCCCTCGGCCCTGTCGCCTCGGCCCCTTGGCCCCGTCGCCCCTAGCTGCGGCCCCGTCGGCCCCGTCGCCCCTAGCTTGGCCCCGTCGACCCCGTCGCCTCGGCCCCCCTTGGCCCCGTCGCCCCTTGCCGCGGCCCCGTCGGCCCCGTCACCCCCAACTCGGCCCCTCGGCCCCGTCGCCTCGGCCCCCCCTGGCCCCGTCGGCCCCGTCGGCCCTGTCGCCCCTAGCACGGCCCCGTCGGCCCAGTCGCCCCTAGCTCGGCCCCTCGGCCCCGTCGCCTCGGCCCCTTGGCCCCGTCGGCCCCGTCGCCCCTAGCTCGGCCCCTCCGCCCAGTCGCCTTGGCCCCTCGTGTTTGGCCCCACGGCCCCTATCCCCTCGGCACCAAGGCCCCTCGGCCCCTCGTCCCTAGGCACCAAGGCCCCTTGGCCCCTCGTGTTTGGCCCCTCGGCCCCTAGCCCCTCGGCACCAAGGCCCCTTGGCCCCTCGCCCCTATGAACCAAGGCCCCTCGGCCCCTCGCCCCTTGGCCCCTCGGCCCCTAGGCCCCTCGTGTTTGGCCCCTCGGCCCCTAGCCCC